AACTATGCGCCAGACCATCGAAATAAATATGCAAAATACAAAAAAGGGATGAGAGTCTATGCCTACATACCCATCTTATATTCTTTATCTTCATTGCGAAATAGTAATTGAGGCTGACTTGCTTTCCAGCTTGTTCTGGTCCCTCTTTATTTCTTAATGCTTTGGGGATTTGTGTAGCAGTTTTCAGCTGGTCACGATATGGAACCTATTACCTCTAATCTTAGCTAATATGTTTTGATTGTGACGAAACAGCTCAATGGATATATTAGATTGAAAAGAAATGTTTATAAGAACAGATTGTAACTTAAATTAGCTAACAATCATTTTATACTTGCTTGCTTTTGTCTCTTAGTAATATTCGCATTTTTTATAAAAACTGATCATTTGTATACTCTAGACACGATCGAACTTTTCTTTATTCTTTACTTATTGTGTTGAAAACAGACTACAAGGCTTTATTATATAGAAGATATTATTAGAGATAACATGTGTTGAACATAATTGTGAACAAAGTTTACCTCAAGGTTTTTCAGATAAAAAACAAAATGCCAGAAGGTTCCTGAACCAATTAGAAAGCAGAATCCCACCTAACAAGAAAATATATCACACAACAACCCTCAAACAGGAGAGCGTCTGAGATTCTCAAAACTTTCTATAATCTATCTACCTTAACAATCTGAAGAAGAAACAAACAGATGTCCTGAAACATCTTCAAAACATAATATTCAAGGGCAAGATGTGTGAGAGTAAAAACCTTCTCGAGCGTTTCAGTATATTGTATTATTAAATTTAGATATAAGATTGATGCCAGAAGTCTTTGTGACCTGGATCACCTTTCCCGAAGGTTGAATAAATATCACTGACCAGAGTTCAGCTGAAGTGAAGAGAGATAATAGTGTGGTAGAACGTGACAAAAGTAGAGTAACTGGAGCTTGAGCTTTGTTGAAGCATAATTTGATGTTTATTTTGTTCGTTGTTGGTTTGGTTTGTTTGAATTTCGCGCAAAGCTACACGAGAGCTATCTGCGCTAGCCATTCCTAATTTAACAGTGAAAGACTAGAGGAAAGGCAACTAGTCATCACCACCCATCGCCAACTCTTTTACCAACGAATAGTGGGACTGACCGTCACATTATAACGCCCCCACGGCTGAAAGGGCGAGAATGTTTGATGGGACGGGGATTCGAACTCGCGACCCACAGATTGCGAGTCGAGCGCCCTAACCACCTAGCCATGCCAGGCCTTGTTCGTTATAAAGGAAAGAAGTCCATATTGGACTTAAATACATGTCTTGATCGCAATTCATGGATGGCTGATGGATTTGATGTAAGAGGTTTTTCTTTCAGTTTTCTGGTTTTCCAATGCTGCGAGGAGTTAAGTATTTATCGTTGGTTCCAATTGTTACTATGTCTGGTGGTGTAACTATGTTCTGCTAAAGCAAATATTTCTGAATGAAGAATACGGGTAGCATCTTGATTTTCTTTATTCTCCGTTTTATTGTTTTTGCCAGTACCTCTGATATACGTTTTAATGCGTGAGCACAATCCTGTAGCTACTGTTTGTCTTCACTTGTTGAGTTCCCCAGTGGCTCAGTTCAGCGGTAAGTCTGCAGGCTTACGACGCTAAAATGATGTAGCTTTGCGCTTAACAACAACAAAACAAAACCAATTATTTGTCTGGATTTTCTGTTAAGCATCTTTTCTAATGTTTTATCAGTTCCGAAGTGCACTTGGAGGTTTAAATTCTTGCGTATCCTTTTGAGTTCGTAACTTAATTTCGTAATAAACAGAAGAATGGTGGAAGTTATAGATTTTGTCCGAGGATCGAGAAGGGTATAGTTTTCTATAAGAATGAATGAAGCTGATGGAATAACCTTTTGTTTGAAAAACTTTATATGGGTGTTTCTGTTTTCCTTTTCTTGAGTTAATTGTTGTCATAGATTTGGGTGGATCAGTCAGAAAAACAGTTTATGACGCTTCTTTTAACGAAGTGTGGGTGGTTACACTTGCAGTATAGATATCTGTAGCTGTGAGGGTTTTTTTCTATATATCAATGTAATAAGATGGTGACCATGTCAGTGAATGAAGGGACTCATTTGAATTCATTCGCATAGTAAACTAGATGTTTTGATCAAGAGAGTTGAGATGTCGAAAGTAATTCTGTAATGTGTCTTGGAACGGAAGTGAAATTATAAAGGTGATGTCGACACTTCTCTTTCATAGGTTTGTTTTAGTGGAGCAGATTTTAGTGCTTTGATTTATAAATCTTACACATACAGGCCATTAATGAACAGCGTAAGAAAAGGGTCCGTAAGTTGACCATGTTTTTATGCGAAGAAGGCATCTTGGAACTGAAAATAGTTATTGTTGGTACAATATGTCAGAAATTCCATGATGGTGTTAACATTCAAATTGATTCGATGTTTTAAGGGTGGTATCTTCTTTAAGTTTCTTACGTACAAATGGTAAGGTAAGGTTTACAAGAATGCTGGGAACATGTTTGTAATGTCAAAACTCACATGTTGATCCTCAGGTTCAAAGTTCAAATCCTTCATCTTTGAGCTAGAGTGTCAGAGTTTATCGCGCATCTTTCTTGGTTGTTTTTGAAAAGATACAGAATTATGACGACGTATTTAGCTAGTTGGTGAAACGCACTGATGATTGGTCGGAGATTAATTTCTGGTTTATGTGACTTAAGTAGTCTACAGAGTTGTGCTGATATGCTACTGTTGGATGTTATTTTCTTGAATTTGTTAATCCATATGTTGACCGCACATTCTAGTTTGTCAGTTGTGTACTGTTTTCTATGGGTGATATGGTTAGTTTTGGATGATGTCTTAGAGATTTTATATCAATATAGTTTATCTAATACGACAATTGTTACCTTTTATTGGCTGCACGATGAAAAGATATTGTTTAATGTTTCTATTAGCTGATTTTCTTTGTTGGCCAGATATTTAGGGGATTTTTATGGTGTTGTATGGCTGTGCAGGTTAACGTCCTCAGTCCGTTTCCACTGACGGACAGTAGACTCTGGGAGACGTTCTATGTGGCTGCATTACGTAGAAAGTTAAGGCCTCTTTTTGAGTGAGATAAGTTGAAGCCGACAGAAAGTACTTTTTTTCTTCACCTGATGTTAAGGTCTTTGAGTTGAGTTCAACAACTTTGGTTTGGAGTTTCTGAAGTATTTCTCTCTTTCCTGTGATGATTTTGTTGAGCTTTGTGAACACATTTTTCTTTTGATTTTCTGAAAAGGATTTTTTGATGAGGTTGTAAACTTTGATTTCTCTGTGTTGAGTATTTCATAAACAATATTGTAGTTTGTTAATTCACCATAAGTCTAGTTACTGGTAAACACATACAACTAATGTATATGTTGTCATTAACAGTAATCAACAGATTTTAATATGCACAAATTATTGTAATTATCAAGTTGAACAAATTGTGAAACATTTTTGAGATTGGTACATGGTTGGAATAATCTTAACTTCTTTAACCCTCTCTATTCTTACACATATGGTTTAATTTTTATATCGATACCAATTTTGGGAGGGTACAAAAATCGGGGGGTCTAAATTTCTTTATCCGATTTATAAATTCCCAAATTAACAAAACATGTGTAAAGGAAAACGAGCCAATGCACTTACAATTCACAGCATACCTTATTATACCTATCGTAAGTATGTTAACATAAATGAAAAATGTCAGCAAATTATAATCTGCACCACATTTTTCACTTTAACATATACCCGAATATCGTTAAAAATAACCTAACTTCAAATAGAACAACACCTGAAGATAAAAAAAACTAAAACAAACAAAAGAAGGTGTTTATATGATATCACACTAATTCCGTGAGAAAGATTATGTAGGTAAAACCGGAAGAAGTGCATATGAGAGCTTCTGGCCGCCAAGTTAATTGGAAATCAACAAATTTTATATACATCTGAGAAAGAAAAAAAAAACTCCTTAGTCAAAAGTTTGCTTAATTTCAACATCTCTCAAGGTCACTCTTACTTCTTGACCTCCTGTGTCCTCAAAGGAATTCAAAATTCCAGGATCACACAGCCATTGTTGACCAGTTTTCCTGCCAGAAGACAACGTGAGACTGAAAAGGACGCACTGATGTGTCGAACTAGTTTATCTCATATCAAGACTTATGACAGTTTCTTCTATTTACTGTGGTTTTTCACTAATCATGCTACCATTCGAATCATATGACCGTGCTACGTACGTTATTATGCCAATTCGCGATGACACAACAGCTATTAGATCATTATAATAGCATACTGTATGCACATATTGTAGGGTTTGTTTGTGGGGGGATATCCCCCAAAACAAATATTCTCGGCTCAAATGCCTCCTGTTAACTCGGCGCTCATATCGATACCGCTTATGAAATAAAGCATTTATGATATAATAATACAATAATTACTAATATTTCATAAAGCATTTTGTTTCGAAATAAAGTTGCAGACTTCTGTTATTCAAAATATTACACATTGACATAATTTCATACGCTTAAGCATTATATTTCTAAATTATTTTTTATGGCAAAAACATATCATATTAACTGGGTAGATGTTGTGGCAATGCGATATGAACTTACAAATATATATCTCCAAACCCGTCATTACACGAAGAACAGAATGTAAAAAATAAATTAAAATAGCAAAAAATGCTACGATGAAGGTTAGACATTAAACCAGTTGAAATATTTATCAGATATATTATCCAACTTAAATGCATACTCCTTATTTATTGATTCAAATAACTTGCCAAAAATAATTAGTTCTTCACCGAATCAGAAATCTTAATATTCATCGTCTATATGACATTTAAATAAACTTAATTTTATACAAATATAGCATAACTATAACACAAAATAATTTAGGCTGCTATATAGTACTAATGTAATCGTGAACAGAGCAATGCTGGAAAATATTCTACGTACACACGAAGTAACACATATTAACAGTTTGAAATAAACATATGCTTTTACCTCATTTTCGTCTTCATTTTTTACGCAAAGGCAAGCCGCTCGTCTAATAAACCCGTCCTCATCATAAGTTCTTATGGAATTTGATTTCTCCTTTTCCATGAATAATCAAACAGGTTTGGTTAGCACTGCTTGTTATTCTTACCTCGATTGTCCAACCATATACACTGTGACTAGAACGCCGCATCCATTTTGTGGCAGTCAGCATAGTCTCAAACGAGGTGAGTTTTATTTATTTTGGTTTTGTTACATTGACACTTTATTTCATTGCAGTTTGACTAAATCACTAAAGTTGAAATATATTTAAAAAAAGTTATTTAAGAGTGTGGATTAAATACATGTAGTAAATGCCATAGCTTTTTGCTGTTAATTTTTATAAAAAATATCTGTATAATAAATCTCTGAAATGCATCGTAACGAGAGTATGTCAACCTCTAATGGGTGCTTTGAATCAGCTGTTTTTCAAGTTTATTTTGAGCGCGCATATGGAACGTTGTATATTACAATATTCTCTTCTCTAGTTTTGTGTTTGTATGATACTAAATTAATTTTAAAGTATAACTAGAAGACATATGTAATCGTATGGTGTTTTATTCACTCCACAAGGCAAAAATTTTCGGCGTGTTTAAGTTAAATTTAAATAATAAAAGTTTTGTGTTTTGATAGTTGTAATTAGTAGTATTTTAGCCCAATTTTGGAAAACGTGTACCTGTTGTGGGTACTTAAAGTAAAAGTACTACAAAATCAAGGGAAGATCTATCTGACCTAACTATAGTGTAGGCTTAAAATATGAATATATGTATAGTATAGGTAATGTAACGTAGGATGCAATAAAACCAGTAAGTTTTAATGGTGATATAGATATACATATTTGTATAATCATAAATCAGCTTACAAGTGTTTTATTTGCCCCCATGAAGCCTTAATGGCAAAATGTTGGCTTAAATAAAACCAAGTATGTTTTTTGGAGTAATAGATTTTGTTTTATTTAACTTTTCTAATAATGAATACAACTCCCTAGGTTGCACTACAAACTTTAATCTCTCATAAGTTTTATTCTGCCAACTTCTGATGCTAAATTGCCACAAATCAGTCAGAAATGCTATTCTTGGTACTCTACATTAAACTTTATGAAGTATAAGGTTTTATTTTACTGATAAACATTTTCCAAATTTATTAGTATAACCAAATTCATTGATTTTAGTTGGTGTACTTTTGGCAAAATATAATCTAACATTCTCTTTTGTTAAAAATTCTTAAGATAAATTTGACAGTTTTAATTAAAAAACACACACATGATGAAAAAGTCATGCCTGTGTAAATATCAGAAGTAAACAAATAAGTAAAGAAAAGCCATCACATTCTTTGTTCTTTTTTTATAAAGTGCAAAACTAATCATATATTCTTCATTTCAAACTTTGAAGAGAGGTTTTTTGCCATTTTTTTCTTCTGAAAAAGTCATGCCTATGTAAATATCAGAAGTAAACAAATAAGTAAAGAAAAGCCATCACATTCTTTGTTCTTTTTTTTATAAAGTGCAAAACTAATCATATATTCTTCATTTCAAACTTTGAAGAGAGGTTTTTTGCCATTTTTTTCTTCTGTAATCACTGTCTGTTTCTCTGGTAAAAATAAAGTGCTGGAAGTGAATCTTAAAAATGAGGCACCAGTAATAATACTAAATGGGAAAAGTAACACACTTGAAATGGAACTGTTTTTTCCAAAATGAAGAAAATACAGAAAATTGCATGTTTCAAACTTTTTTTTATATTTTGAATTATCAGTAATGTGGTTTTTATCAGTGTTATTATTATCGAAACCATTATTACTGTTGTCATATGACATATGCATTTTTTCTCACTTTCCATTACTGGATACTGCAGTACACGGTGGAGTAGTAATAGATTTCTTAAGTTATTTGTATCACACTCTTTGCTAGATGTTCTCTTCTACAGAGTAAGCATAATCTTCGCATTTATTGTGTGTTGCAAGATGTCAGTGCATATTTGTATATGATTATTAGGGTAACACAAGTACTTAAAAAAAAACTTTTATTTTTTTCATGAACAATCGGAAAATTACTTCTGAAAATCACATAGAATAGAAAATATATAATTGTTTAGTTATGCTTTTACAGTAAGATAATTATTTATTTTTAGAATAATATAATGCCTTGTTTTAATGTGCCCATTATTTGTTATTATAATACTGTCTGTAGTGCAGTGTGTAAATTATTTGTTGCCAGGATAATGTGCCTTTGTAGTAAGGTTTATATTTTTTGGTGTTAGGATAATATCTGTAGTGAGATGCATTGATCATTTGTTGCTGGGTTAATATAATGGATTTGTAAGTGTACATGTTTTTAAAATATTTATTCAGCCATGTGAATGAAGCCTTAATACTGAAAGTTATGCAGTGTACACTGATCTAAATATATATTTACTTTCAATATGATTAAACTTTTTCAAATTATTTCCATAAAACATAGGTATAAATCATTACACCAGCCTAAAGAACTAGAGATGGGACTTAATATACTTCAAACCAAGACCTAATTAACTTCAAATGTAACACATGTTTAGTATTTAAAGTAATAATATATTTTTTCCTTAGAATTCATTAAATGAGGTTGTTTCTTTCCCCCTTTAAGACTTTAATCCCAATATTTTGGGTTCAGCTGGTAATTTTGTAATCCAAGAATTTTTACACCCAAATGGCATGCACAGTTCGGCAATGGGGATCCAAACTCGAGACCCTCAGATTGCAAGTCGAGTACCTTAAACACTAGGCCCATAAAATGAAGTACCACATTTAAGTTGCTACTCAAAAAAAATGTACTTTGTTGGATGAGGTTACTATATCAAAATAATTTTCAATGTTTTTTCTGTGCACAAGGATATTGTTCTTATTCTTAATTTTCTCTTTTGAACAAAAAAATAGAAAACTTTCAGTAGTTAAACAGTAGATGTGTCTTGTACGTATTTCACAAATCTGTTTGGTAGAGGTTTAATCACACTTAATGAAAATGATATGCAAATGCAGGGGTGCATCATCACTAGACATAAGCCATAGCAGGATGACATGTTAGCTCTTATATACTGGTTCACAGTGCAATGCCATAAGAAATAGACTTAGGTTGGAGAGATATCTCTCAGCCTTTCCAAGGAAGTACATTCATATAGCAAGATTTTAAATGATGTAGAACTGAAGGACACGGCATTTCAAAGGGGACCTTCAGTGTTCTGCATGGATACAGATAAACTTGTACAGTTGAGCATTTAGGACAGAAAAGGATGCCAAGCTAATTCAGAGTGAAGATTATTGATATCAAAGAGAATCCACTGACACACACACACACAAAATCCATTGAGATGAGGTTAAACATATCTCCAGATACTATTAGCAAGATAATAATCAATGATTTCAAGTTGACAGACTCACAAGCCAGAAGTTAATCTTCCAGCCATACCTCAAAGTCAAGGGTGATTTCATGAGAAAGATGACCAGAGAACCTCATTCAACCACATAACAGTCCATTGATGCAGATCCATTGGCCTTTTGTACCTTTGGTATACTTAAAACATGGTATTGGAGGATCTGTGAAAAGTCTCTCAAACCTGTGGTCTAAAACTGAACTAACCAACCTCTGCAGATGCCTGTCATAATTGAAATTGCAGTATCAAGTAATAGTAAATAATCATGGCTATTATACTGAGCCAACAATAGAGGAGGTAATTCCAAGTAGAACACAGGATCAGACCAGACCATCACTCTTATAAAGATTTATACATGTATTCATCTTATTGGGAATAAACTATCATCATATAATCTCATTATGAAAGTTTTAAATCATATTTGGTTTTCTTCAAACATTGATTACTTATTATATATATATATGAATCTTAGCTGTATTATTTCAGTTAAAGGGACTTCACTGAATTATTTAATTTTTGACATTTTATCATTTTTACATTCTGATTTTGCTTATATGTTATGTATACTAATGTGTAGTTTTACTTATCACACAACTTGTGATTTTTTATGTAGCTAATAGCTCTGTTCTTGTTTCTGCATATTACAGTGTTTTCAGTATTATTTTGTTTTATATTTTACTTGTTTTTATGCTTTTAAAGTCAGGGGGTGGTTGTTTTCACTAGGATATTTGGCTACCAATCTGTAATATAAAATGAGGCTAATTAATTTCTTGAATTTAGTGTATCAATGAGTCTAAGAAAAGGTGGTATTTACCACTGGTTTTGAGTACTGGAAATGAAATTTGAGAGAATTTGAATGGGAAGGAAGAAATAAATGATGCTTGAATTATCTTCCAATCAAATTTATTGAAAAAGTTTATGTTTCACCTAAAATCTTATATTCTAGTTAAAACTGTTTTAGTGTTTTAATTATTAAAGGAGAGCATGAAATTCTTAACCTGCTCAATGTTTTTATAGGAGAAAAAGAAAAGACTTATAATTCTCTTCGTACTAAAGAATTATATTATTTTAGTGAATTAGAGAATCCTCAAGACACAAAACTCCTGTTCATAATGAGTTTGGTTTAGTTTATTTGTTTTTAAATTTTGCCCAAATCTACTCAAGGGCCTTCTGCACTAGCTATCCCTCATTTAGCAGAGATAGACTAGAGGGAAGGCAGCTAATCAAACCCAATTCCAACTCTTGGGCAACAAATGGTAGGATTGGTCTTAACAATATAACACCCCCCACGGCTGAAATGGTAAGCATATTCGGTGACAGAGATTCAAACCCATGGCCCGAAGATTGTGAGTCGAGGGCCCTAACTGCCAAGCTTGTCATGATGATAATTATTCTAAGAATTTATTTAGTAATAGTTGGTGAAGGTTTTAAGAGATATTGGACACTGGAAAATTTTTTATGACAAAAGGATTAGCAACATAGACCTTGTTCCTTTTTAAAGAGATTGACTTAGAACTTTGAAAATTACATTGAAACATAAAAGGTTTTGTTGTTTTTTCTCCTTATTATTCAGATAGACTTTTATAAATTTCTGCACAATAAATTATAAAGTTAGATTCTAATGATTAAAAAGTGGTTAAAAATGAGTTCTATGATGAAAATCAGAGCACTGAAAATTACATTATTCTAAATAGAAGTTTGTGGTGAATAAAAAAAAAATTATTGACTATGTTTTGGTACTTTTCCCAATTTATTTTTCATATATCACAGTTATGTATCTGGGCAGCAACTCATCAAATTTGTTTATTAAACTCCAAATCTGGAGAAAGCCACGGTTGTTTATAGTGTTCTTTTATTACAGAAAAACCTGAACAGTTTTAAGGGGACAAGAACATGGAAAATTGTGTGTAAAATGATGTTTATTCAACTTGAAAGTTTATTGAAAACTTCCTTAATTTTTGGGTGATAAAAACATTAGTAGTACAAAAAAAGATGGCTTTGATTTTGTTAATTGAAAAAAGCTTGAATTAATAAACTAAAAGTTTAAAACTAATCAAAAGAGGAAAGAAAGATCTTTAACTTAGTACTATGTTTTAAATTTAAGAGTAAGAAGCTAATGTTGTCTTGTAGAAAGTTGGAGAATATTGTTTTAAATTACTGTGCTTAGGTAATAACCCCTTTATTATAGAAAAGATACTGAAATGTTGGAAAGGTACATAAAGCTTCTAGAATGATCCTGTTTTAAGACATCAGAAAAATACAACTCTACATGGAAACACTGATTCGGTGGTAGAATAGGTTGAAAGTAGGGATCTGATTTAATAATTAGGAGCTTTAAAAGTCTAAATTTAGTCTTGTTCATGAGAGAAACTATTCAGTATATTATAGTTACCAAGCTGAGGAATAATTTGGTGTACTGTTGGCTGTAATTTGATCAAATATATATAGAATAAGTAAATAAATAAATGTGAAAGGCTATATTTAGTTTGGTTTGATGACCTCTTCGGTTGTTTGAAGAGTATAAAGGTGACCTCAATGGCCATCTTACATAATTTTTTTCTTCATCTTGAGAAATTTGTATAAAACACTGAACTGTTTTGTGTGTTCTTCTATATTATGAAGTCTTATTTCCTTTTTATGACTGAGTCCTGTTTCTCTATTCACCAATACCATGAAATCTTTAACTGTTACCTTAGTAAAATGTCTGCACCAGCAGTTGCTAACATAATCATTTTCTACACTGTTTCTGTCTGACTACTCAGTTTGGAGTGCTCTTCTTTACTAGCTTGAGATTTTTATTCATGCAGCTATATTTCCTAGTTTGAAAGTAATCTTGTAGAATAATGTTTTTCCCCTGGACCAGATGGTTGTTATATTTCTAATTCTTTACTTTCTTTTTTTTTTCTTTCTTTCAGTTTTGGACTTCCAATTACATTAAACAAGCACTAAAACTTGCATTATTTTCAAATACCATGTGGTTTATTAAAATAGGAATACAGCCACTGGGTTATTTGCTTTTTCTTTTATTGCCTTAAATTTATGTATTGATCAAAATATTATAACATTAACTAAATTAAGCTTTATAGTAATCACAAAAGATCATGATACTTTGATATGGTTGAATTACATGCATTAAATAATCCTACAGTGACCAAGCCTTCTCAGAGAAGCCTGGGGCACTTCTATCTTTTGAGGCCCCTGGCTATAATAAAAAAAAATGATGGCACATGAAAACAAAATAAGACAATCATTAGCCCAAAAGAAAAGTGAAACATAATTTGAATATATAATTTGCAGCTCTAAGCTGAGAGTTTGTGTTACGTTTTGGTCTGATTGGAAGGCAAGTAAAACAAGATGTGAAACTTAACAAATGCAAGTGTCCAAATTTGAGGCCCAGGCCAAATGGCCCCCTTCTAATTGGTCCTAACAGTAACCATAAAGTTCAATAATTCTGGTTTAAACTACTAAACATGTAAAGTTAAGAGATTCTTAGTCTGGTTTAAACCACTAAACAAATAATTCTAAAATTACCATAAACTCCATGGTCCAAAGATATGGTTGAATTACTACATTAAATAGTTCTACAATAACAAAACAATTATAATTTTCTGTTTTCATTTAAATTATTAAACCTAATAGTTCAATAAGGATTATTGTGTTCTAGTTTAACTACATACATATATGGAATTTAAAATAGACCAATTTTTAGACAGTCTTTTGTTCTTTGACAGATATTTGGTATATCTTAAAGCTTAAGGAAATCCAAGGTCAGGAATTCTTTTGTTTAAAAAAACAGTGAAATAGGCAGTAAGGTTACAATGTTACAAAATGTTTCGATTATGCAATGTATAGATTGAAAATTTCCTCATGTTATAAGATTATAAACTCTGCTTGCCTATTTAGTCTACCCTCATACCACTAGGTTACTTTTCAGTATATATGTTAAAGTTTAACATGAACTTTATTTAACCAGCTCTAAAGATCATTATATTAAAAGTTATCTTGATGTAAGTGATTGAACTGTGCCTTAATGTTTTAAACAAACATAACTGTTAATACATACTGTTGTCAGTTTCATGTATTTTTACATAGGTGACTATCTAATGGTCATAACTACATCATTTTAGTTTGAACTATTGTCAGTGTATAAATACATTCTTTGAAATTTCATTCACCCTTTGACCAGATGTTACCTAACTGAAAATAGCTATGTGTGAATTAACAGTCTGATAAGCTAGAATAAAAGTAAGTTCAGACAGACAAAAAAAAGTACTTGTGTGAAAAAATAGAAGTAGATGAATAGTTGTAAAGAGTTTCCAAATTTATGAGATTCAATTTACTTAACTCAGTACCTAGTTTTGTCTAGTTGCTTGAGACAAAACTGTGTACAACTACATTGAAACAATTTCTAGTGTTTTTCTGAATTGGTCTTTGCTTTGGTTGTACATAATATTGCATTTTTCTTACACAAGCTTATGAATTAAATAACTGGAAATGACTTTTGTAAACAATTTCTCAAGTGTGGTGCTGATGTCCAGAAGATAAATTGGCAAAAACATGTTTGTTTCATAAAAAATATTTTTATTTATAAAATGAAAATCAGTATCATTGTATGGTGTAATATTTTTTACACCCACCTTGGTGCTAAAGCTAGTACTTTCCACTTACTATGGAACAAAATCCTTATCATATCTTATTTATTACATTGATTATTAAAATAATTCATTAAATACTACCAGATTTTATCACAGTGGATATAGTAATATAAATTGTGCATACATGGTACATATAATACACAGAGTAAATGAAGTTTTATGGTGAATGTTGCAACACTTAATCATAATACAAATAGCAGTCACATGTATACCAGCATGAAAATTCTTTATTTATGAATTTCTTTTCCTCATAAAAATGTGAAGTTCAGTGAAGAAGAGATTTTGTAAAAACTAACCTATTCTTTGATTCATTATTGCTGCTACAGTAGACTAGTTTTGTACAATTCACAGCTCATCAACATCGCTTGGAAAAGCAAAGCAAATAAACATCTTAGGTTATTAGTTGTGAGAAAAGGACTAAACATCAAAATCAAACAAAACGAAAATTGTTGTTGGAACTAATGTTTAATTACATTTAAATTTAAAGTGTCCAGAAACAATGTGGTTGTAAAGAATTAGTCAATGAAAAATACATTAACTTCACAACATTTTGGTGTGTAATACCCAAGCTAGCAAAGCATGTTATATTTTAGGTTAATAGGTATGATAATATATCACAAGACGAGACTCATAACAGTCTAATCATATTATTTGTAACTGACCTAGTACATGTTTCTAGTAAGAATATGGGATAGCACTTTAACTAACACTGTTTATTGTATGCCATTACTGATAATACATTTTCTCACTCCCATAGCTAGCTCAGTTACAACAAAAAAACTTTAGATGACATCTGTTTATTTAATTTTATTCAAAGCTATTCAAAGGCTATCTGCACTAGCTGTCCTTAATTTTGAAGTGACAGACTAAAGGGAAGGCAATTAGTTAACACCACCAACTCATGGGCTACTCTAATTAAATAACAGGATTTGACCCTATATAAGGTTGTTGAGCAATTTTCCTGCCAAAAAACAATGTGAGAGACTGAAGAGGACACTCCAAAAACACGACTTCTGTTTGTTCCATTTATTGTGGTTTTTGTTCTCTAACTGCTACACATGATATTGTGATATCTTATGATTAGGTCTAATGTAAGTCATAGGGTTCCTTTGTTTTTATAACAAACAATCTTTCAGAGGCTAAGTAAAATATCCAACAGTCCCAAAAAGTTTACAGTAATTGTACCGCCTGCCTTAAGCTTATAAGCTGGTATGTCTGCTTTGGAAGGGCTAAAAGTTATCATGATTTTTCCTATAAACAATGTTTGGACTTTATATTGAGTTCTTTTATAGATAATTGTGACTTATGGTCCAAGTTTTTTATGATTATGAACTTGTTACACAGATGTCTCTTATGGCATACTGGTGACTTAATTTTTTGAAAAAACTGTTGATTATGAAGGGTGCAGAGCTTCAGCACAGACAAACTGATCAGACCTCAGAGTATTGTGCCCAGAGCATCTCTTTCGCCTATCATTTTATAAATTTCAAATGACTGTTGAATGATATTCCTTCTTAAACCATAGGGTGGTATCCTTACTATCTTCCTATATTGTAGGTGTAGCTGTTAACGTTTGTTAACTTTACATATAAATCTTATGCATTAGCATTCTGATTGGTAGTTGTTTAGCAAAAATTTAGTTCCTGCCACTCATTACAGTGTCAACTTTTAATGATAAGCAAAACTGTCAGTATTCTAAAAATACTATTATTTTATGTATATATAAACTTCTTGGGTAACTAGGCCACAAACAAAAGACAGACATATAAAATTTAGATTCAAACTACAATATAGAGAAGATAAAATGTACATTAGTCAAGGAGTTATTTGTGAAAGTATGACCCATACCATGGTGAGATACACCATTAGATTTAATATACTGCTATATTGGTCCTAGTTTTGTAATATTACTCTTTCTATGGTTCATTTTACCTTTCCTATATTATTATTCTTTTTGTTTTGGGCCTAGTTGTCTGAAAAGTTTTTTCAAACATTGTTCAATGTATGGTTTGTTGTTGCACTACACTCTCTCTTTATTTCAGTTATTAAAATTAACATAACTGTTAGGTAATCTATCTAATTATTTAATCTTGGCCCATACACTACTGTAAGTTATATAAAAGCATTTCAGCTACAATGATGTTGTCATGTTTACTGCTGGTCAGTTTGTATGGTCATTCAAAATAGTTATATTTGGTATTGTTAGAATCACAACTTTGTGGTGTACAACATATCCAAAAATCTGGTTTGGAGAAATTTCATATGTAAATTAGCTAAAGTCACAATATTTCACATTTTTCTTACATTCACTGAAAAACTAGTTAACCTTCCAGATGCATTTTTTTCCTTTTTTGGCAGCAAGCAAAATGGTCAGGATTCATTTCAAAAACTTTTACATAAAGAATCAAACTATATAAACACTGACAGTAGAAACCAGAATTTTAAAAGTTATAAATGACTGTTCTTTTGATGATGGGAGTGGAAATTTGAATAAAGAAAGAAATGTACCTTCTGCACATAGATTCTATTTTTAAACCTGATTCTTCTGAATGTTATTTAATTGCAATACAATGATGCTATGAAGAGGGTTATGCACTGGCTGAGAGTTAAATATCAAATCAGAAAAGACCAAAAATATTGTGGCATCACATATATAATTTGGTGTTGTTACCTATAATACAGGCTATCCTGTGACAAAATATGGAAAACATACAGTGCACAGAAAAAAAAACTGTTTGACTCAGCTAGGTATACCAGATTGGCAAAACTGGTTCAAGTCCTTATATTGATGATGTCATTAGTAAGTTATGGACATCTGTAATGTGACAAAAACTAAATTTTGAGAATGAAGTTATGATAGTTGATAAGCAAGATAAGTTTCATCAAGATTGGATATCACCTTCACACTTTTCCATCTTCATTTCTGGAATCTCTTCCTCATTGTTTATCAATTCTTGAAGATCCCTTCATGTCAAATAGGGTGATACACTAGGTAACCTTTATATAAAAGAATTTCCTCCTCACAACACTTGTTTGTATCTGGGTATGTTACAGAGATCTAAATTCCAGATCCAACAGCACCATAAGCAGCTTGGTAAAAAAAATTTCCAGGTCTAACCCTACCACAGTTATATTAAGCTGCACTAAATGCAAACTATGTCTAGGTAATTATGTCTATGAACATGTTCAAACATATAAATGTAGAGCATAATTTAGGGTTCTGTGTCATTTTTTATGGCACCTTTAATTTATTCTTAGTTTGGAGTACTAATTTAAGAAAAACTATGTTCTTTGAATTAATATGGGACTGAATAGATGCATTTTCTTTGTATTGTTTAAAGGTGTATTGCTTATTCATACAAACATGACTCAAGGTTGCTGTTTTTTCATAATCATACATCAGTTTTTGTTTTGTTTTTTCATTTAGTGCATTAATACACTCCTTGCCTCTGTGTATTATCAAACAGCCATAACTTGTTTCCACTTACAAGGTTTATGATGATGACTTTGTGGTTTTGTGATTTGAAGGCAGTGATTTTTTTTACTATATTTGAAAATTATCATTGCTAACCTAACCTAAGGTTTAAAGAAATTTAGTGATATCAGGTTATCAGGTCATAATACAAACTGTCTACTGTACAGGTTGCTCAATTTAAAACAAGTTATTATAAAAAAGCAAAAAGAAACAACTTGTACAAGGAGTGGTCATAATCTTGACAAATGTGACAGATCTTAATGAAATATCATGAAAACAATAATGAACTTGGATAGCAAGTTTAAAAACAATCATTTATCTCTTTAGAGTATTTTTCAGACTAGAATGACAATTCCAGATGCACCAGTGAATGTGACTAATAACACTAGCGTCGTTTAAGAACAGCCAAGTATACCCAAACTGCCAAGACTGTGCAAGGGTAGGGATGAATATGTACTGCTAGTGCAAACTCCACATCTTTGTCCTCTATTTGATGAACTCCAGTAGCAAAAACTGCCTCAACAACATTCTCAATTTCTGTGTAAGGCATGGACAAGGGAAACCCACACACCTGTATAATTAAGATTAAGAAAAGGACATAGCATTGCAAATTAAAACTGAAGTATTCTTAATGTCTGCCATTCTGTTTAAATAAATGTACAATATACATAATAAAAATTAAGAAAATGTGACATAAGCAGTTCATTGTTCAAAAGAGATCTATCTATTTAAATATTTTGGAAACTAAATGACAGACTATAATTTGTTTGAACAATTTCAATGAGTGTGTATAAACTTTGTATGGTGTGTACACAATTATACTTGTTAATCATAAAACTGACTTTAAATACATTAATGTTTTATAAAAATTATGAACTTCATTACTTTCTCTTTTTTGTAATCTTTCAATAAGTTACAATTATGATAAGTAAAAAAAGACGAAATACAATGCTAAACTGCAACTACATGCTATATACACTGTCATAAAACCATGATAATGTGTTTGTAGGTTTTGGAAACTATACTTTATACTCACTTTGAAAGATCCTAAGATGTCCTTTAGCTCCTCTGATGAATCAATGCTAGCTGTCTTGTTAAAGTTTATTTCCAGTCTAAAAAATTGTACAATTTTAAAAAATTTACAGTAGCAAGTCAATTCTGTATAAAACATCATGCTAACTTGTCCACTGTACTAAAGACAGAAAAACATTTAAATAAACTTCTGTAACATCAGTAATGAGGATATAAATAAACACTGATTGTACCGTATAAATATTTATTAAGTTTTAAATGCAATATTTCTTGTTGATCTTAGTTCCACATTGGCTATTAAAGATGAAATATGAAAACCTTATAAGAGGAATAAAATTATATACTTTCAATTAGAAGCAACTACCATCCATTAAAAATAGTTACTCATAGAAAAGTAGTCACTTTAATTGCCGATACATTTTATAGTAATAATTACGTTAGCTCACATATGGAAGGCAATGTACTAGGATGCATTTAAGAAAATATAAACTACACTATCTATAGTGTTTTGAAATAATTTAACTCCAGCATATAGTAACCTAAATAAAATTTGGTGTGTGATTAATGTTATGACATTTCTTCGAATTAATTATTCAATATTATACAGTAAACCAACTTTTCAATGATAGTATGTATATGTTAAAGATATGTTTAACATATTTATATACTATCATAAACTACACTGTTCTTCACCTTGATATATTTGGTTATAAGCTTCTCACATTGAAGTTATTTCAATTTTCCATTCAGAATGTTGTGGGGAGGTAAGTGTAACCATTAAATAATGAAAAATTTCTCAGACTTTCTTTCTCTTTCTTAATTAATAATATTTTCTGTACAAAAGAGTGAAATATGAGTAGCTTATAGATTACTGAACAGAGATGGTGATAAGATTGTTACCATGAAATAAGAAGCATAAATAAGAAACTCACTTGGGTAAAATCTTCTGCAGCATTTGGATACAGTGTCTATTCCAAGATGTTCGATATTTCCTTCTCCATCTCATGATGCTTTCTTTAATATAGGTTTCAATCTTTTCTTGCAACTGACGAACAAACCTGGGATCAGTCGGTGTGTAAACTAAAACTTCAGGCTGAAACAGTAATGTTCCAAGGATTTCGGTTCTCATACTTTCATATATATGAATTAAACCAAAGTAAAGAAAAATAACATTTTTGGTAAAATAATATGTATTCTGAAAATATTCACACGTTTATAATTATGAGCCTTCACTAGCACTTAGAAAAAAATGCCTAATACTCTGACTTTATAGGATAATTTTATTACATCTAGAACACACTAAGTAAAGAAAAGGCCTGCAACAGATTAAAGTTTATACATTCCGTGACTCCTATTTATTTCAAGATGCATGATCTTTAACACAGAACTTAGTAAAATATGAAGAGTTTTAGGGAAATGTGTATCTAAACATAACAATAAGAATGCACATAACTTGAACATTTCTCTCATACCTAACATAATAAGATTTTAAAAAATGAATACTGTAATGAAGTATGTTGACTACATTTTATCGTTGCAAGTGATTTAAGAAGTTAAAAAATATTTTCAGTTTATACTTCATCACACATTCTACTACAATAAAATTTAATAGTCTATGTTATCTGTATTCTAGAATGAAAAAAAATAGTGAAAATAAGCTTTTAACTGATCTAATATAAATAATGTGTTCTTTCAAAACTGTTTCACAGTGATTTAACCAAACTTTTCTAAAACTTTTTAAAGTGGGTGTAATTGGAAAGAACTATTTCTCACCTGTACACTACTTAATCCTGGATTAGGAAACCTACGTGTGAAAAATGGCTGCCAATCTCTTGCCTGATTGATTTCAAAGCTTATTCTACTAGGGTGGTCATCCTTTTGGATGTTAGCCCAGATCTGGAATATAGTAATTCATCTGTTTATCATTTATGTAGATGAAATTCAATATGCTAGTGCAGGTCTTTTTAAGGTAGATAAGTTAAATGACCCAAGATAACTGACATCATTGATGACAAGTTTAGTGCATAATGAACTGTAGTGCACTTAACAACACATGACATAATCCTTTTAAGTATAATAGTTTGTTTTCAGATATTTGTGTAAGACTACAAACTAAAGGGCTATCTGTGCTGGCTGTCCCTGATTTTGAAATGATAGCCTTGAGGGAAGATAGCTAGCCAGCAGCATCCACCAATAACTCTTGGGCTAATTTTCTCTGATCAGGTAATGGGATTTGACAATCACCCTTATAATGCACCCATTGCCAAAAGTATGGAGCACAGTAATTTCTGTCATTAAATAAACATGAATAAGAGATTTGCAGATCCATAGTCCAGTAATCTAACCATTGGACCAGGTTTGTCCCTTTTTAAGTTTAATCCTTGAGAAAATGAGCATCATATGAACTTGTAGAAACAGGAAATTCAAACAGAAATGTTGACAAAATACAGTGCAATGGAGTCATAATTTAGTAATCTATAGTATAAAATTAGATTTAATGTATGTGTTAGAAGGTTTTTACCCAAAAAAACTCATCAAGCAGAAGGAAAAGAGCTGAACAAAAAATTGCTTCTGAAAAGAAAGATTATTACTGTACCAAATATTACTTCTCTGTAGACTTTATGAGTATTTATGCAAACAAATTATTAACAAAAGAATAATGACATAAAAGTTACTTCTAGATATACAAATATACAGATACACATTTTAGCAACTACAAACAATTATAGAATTCCTATTATATAGTGTTTTACTAATTACATTTTCATAAATATCACTCATGCAGTTACATGTTGCAATACTTAAATCCATTACACAAATAGAAAAGGATTATTTACAGATTAATCAGAGATTTCCATTATTATCATCCAGTGATTATTATTATTATGTAAAGTTACAGAAGTGAAAGATGTATTTTTCATGGAGTTAAAAAAGGGAATATTAAAGTTTGGATAATCTCAATATCATCTAATGTATTAAAATAAAATATAAAGAATGTAATCAAATAATGACACCCTGAGGAAACAAAATTACATCTAATGCCTTTCAATGGAGTCTTACATTGTCAGGAGAAATCAGACAACCAACTCGCTGCAAGGGACTAAAACTCTCTCGCACACTGAAGTGTTGTCCTTGCGTAGCATTCCACACCAAAATTTCCCTATCAGTTTCTACAGTGAGTACATAAGCTGTGTGTCCTTCTGGAATTCCAGAACCCAGAAGTAAGAATACTCTTTTATTGAGGTAGAGAAAAAAGTTACACAGAAGAATAGCATGTTCTTCTTCATCTCCTGTCAGCATGTCAAGAAATTGCTGAGATGGAAAAAAAAAACAGTTAAAACCATTGATGTAATTTTTAAGGTCTCAATCTAAAGCAAATGACACAAATATACATATATTATTGTATATTATACTCGAACCACGTACAAATTATTTCACAGTAACGTCTGGATATCTAACATGGTAGACAAGAACTGAATGTTAGATTCATGCCGGTAATTCATTAATACCCCACATTATTTAATTGGGGGTAAAACCTAATAGTCAAATTTATTTACTAGTCTTATGAATGCAAACAATGTTACAACATTCTTGAGTATAAATATATCCACACACATACAAATACATTTTGGTTCATTTATATTCTAACTATTGAATAAAAAATTTTTGTAACATAATGAACAAAGCATTATTATTTAAATTTGATCAGTTAATTTCTCATATAACAATGCTATATGATAACAACTGAATAGTAAGTTAAAATGCAATATTATTTTATGTTAACATTCCTATCCATTTTACTGCCACAAAATTTAAATCTTTCTTGCCTGTTGTAAGCACTTATAAAATGGTAAAAACTGAAAACATGGAATAATATAAATGTTATAAAGGAGGTTAGAAAACATTAAATGCTAGGCTTAAAAGATGATTTTTAACAGGTTTCTTAATCCTTTGCTATTGAGAAAATCTAAGGCAATGTCCTTATATTTAAAGAAAACATATCCATCAAAGCTGTAATTGTTCCAGAGTTTATAATGAATTTTTTAAAAATTGGTAAATGACCAATATTCTCAATTTTCATCAAACTAAGTCATAAATTTCAAGCAGTAAATTCAGTTATCTGTATTTTAGTTTTTTGCAATGAAGTTAAACTATAATTGAAATTTGTTTTTTTTTAACACTGTTTAGCTTTATGGCCTATACAAGGATGAATAGAAGGTTTATATACATATATATTATTTGCTGATTTCAGTACAATACCTTATATGATATGGATAAGTGTATTACTATATATTTACCAATGATCTTATCTATCAACATTCTGAAGTTCATATTGATATGAATCTACAGCAAGTCAATTTTATTATTTAGAAAACAAATATCAATTAAACATGTGTATCATAAACAATCAAAAAAGAGCTTAAGCAAGTAAACAAAACTGCTATTGCATGTAACAGATATCACAATATTCCTGAAGACACATAGTAACAGCTTTTACAAATTACCTGTAAACTAATAACAACTACTGCACTTTAAATAAGGACACATAATAATAGATATCACAATTTACCTGAAGATATGTAATAACAGCTATGACATTTTTACCTGAAGACACATAATAACAGATATCACAGTTTACCTGAAGACATATAATAACAGCTATTATATGTTACCTGAAGACAAGTAACAGTTATCACACTTTACCTGAAAACATGCAACAGCTATTACATTTTACCTGAAGACACATAACAGCTATGACATTTGTACCTGAAGACACATAACAGCTATGACATTTGTACCTAAAGACACATAATAACAGATATCACACTTTACCTGAAGACATATAATAACAGCTATTATATGTTACCTGAAGACAAGTAACAGTTATCACACTTTACCTGAAAACATGCAACAGTTATCACACTTTACCTGAAAACATGCACCAGTAATCACACTTTAGCTTAAAACCCATAACAGCTTTCACACTTCACCTGAAGACGCATAATAACAGCTATTAAACTTTACTTGAAAACTAATAAGAGTAATCATGTAATTATATTTTCATAGTATTGTCTGGCTACTGTAGAATTTAATCAAAGCTACACATGGCATCTTTTCCAAACAATTTTGTCCTTAACCAAATGTGCACAGGGTTGGTCCACTCGACCAATTCCTATCGAAGAAGGAAAGTTGACTATAATTCTGAACTTACTACATGTACCTATGTGAAATGTGGGTAGCTTTTAACAAAATGTACAAGTCTGCTATACACAAAAAATCAGATATGTTACAAGAGTATTTATACTCAAGATATGCCTGTGAATTGATTAGGTTAGTCAGAGTGCAAGGTGATATTCATGTAAAGATTAAAAATACTTTTGTCCATTGTACAATTTTAATATTGCATTTTCATAAACTCTAGAATTTTCAAAATGCATATCTACAGTTTTTTCAGTGTTTTTGTATATTGTATCTGGTATTTACACCCCTCTACCATGAACTGACCCAAATCAGATATGTATAGTAAAATGAATAGTTGATAACTCTGACATCAAATTCATAATATCATGTTGAATAGCATTCTGTGAATGGTCATGGCTTGCTTACTTTGATCCACTCATATCTTCACGTAGGGTTATTTCTGGTCAACACAATTATACAACTGGTTTCTGTTAAATGATTACAAATTTCATGTTAAGATTGATACCCGTAACAAACAAAATATAATAATGAATAATTAAAAAAAAAAGACTTTTCTCACTACCAACAGTTTATTGCTATATATTCAACTGTTTCTATTACAATAAAAAATATCTAAAAACCATATGTCAGCAAAAACGTTTGTACATTATTAACTGTTTTATAAAAATACTCATTTTAAATTTAATTATTAATAATTTATTCATTGAAATATGTCTTACATGCCTATGCAAACAAGGTCTCAATTAACACCAATAAGTTTGTTTGTTTGTTTTGAATTTTGCGCAAAGCTACACGAGGGCTATCCGCGCTAGCCGTCCCTAATTTAGCAGTGTAAGACTAGGGCGAAGGCAGCTAGTCTTCACCATCCACCGCCAACTCTTGGGCTACTCTTTTACCAACAAATAGTGGGATTGACCATCACATAATAATGCCCCCACGGCTGAAAGGGCGAGCATGTTTGATGGGACGGGGATTTGAACCCACAACCTACAGATTGCGAGTCGAGTGCCCTAACCACCTGGCCATTCCGGGCCTGCACCAACAAGAAGCGTGTAAAATTCATTAACACGTTTTTAAACAATAAGTTATCTTCCAATGGGAATAACAATGAGTATGATCAGTAATATATTGTTGCAAGTTATGTTTTTAGTATTTAATTTAGACCTTTTTTTTGGCTAGAAGTTTTTATAACATCAGGTAATAAGTGTTTGACTTAATTTCTAGACTTTTCTCAAAAGTTAAGGAAATGGTTAGAATTATATAAAATGTGTAGTAGATAGAATTAACTTAGATTATTGAATGATTATTGAATAGCCACTTAGTTATTTCAGTGCAGTAATTATGAATTTTTTTTTTTAATTAAGAGAAATAACATATATGTGAGAAAATTTGCAAGTGATATTTTTATTGAAACATTTTTTATTTGGGAAGTTGGGCCTATCCAGAGTTATGTGAAATTTGTATAAGTAATAGAACTTGTAGGCAAAGAAAGCAAACATTTTCATTATAATAATGTGCTTGGCTTTGCATTCTAGTTTTTATGAAATAATTCAAAATAACCCACCAAACAAATAAAAACCATTACAACAATATGTAATTCTACATTACAAAACCTCAGTCTTAATTAAGTGATGTGTACATTAAAGTACATATATATGCATGCTTAATACTTACATCACATGTGTTCCAAATGTCACACATCCCAGGGAATATGACACTGTCTGATACTGTTGGTATTAATGACACAAAACGAGCTAATACTTCCTGTTAAAAGACACGTACTGATTTAGTAATGTGTGTCAACAAACAAGATTCCATTTCTTTGCTACTAGATACACTTTGTAAGTAACTGGATGAAGTCTAATAGACAAATTAAAAGCAGTGTAAAATGTCTTTAAGAAAAAAGTAATACTACTACACTCAAATAACTGTCACTTCTATTATAATAGACTGAGGATTAATCAAGTAGGAGAGAAAACTGAACATTACTGAAAGACCTCACTAACCAGAAACAGACAACCAACTTTGAAAATCTTTAAGGTTTTTTTTAATAGTTTTTCCTAAAAAATATATTTTATTACTAAATTTTTCAATTGTATTTTTCAACTCTTAAACATAGTAAAGAAGTAAAAAAGAGAGAGAGAGAAATATTAAACCATGCATAATGAGTTACAAGTTTTCTCATAATATACTCATTCACAAACGATTTGAATTTTAACTGAAGAAAAAGTATAGTCACATGTTAACACAGTTGTAACCTAATTTGGTTAAGTCATAGAAATATGTGGATACAGTTCTTTTCTATGACTTAAAATAGATGCATAAAGCTTTAACATTTGTGTGGGTTTAAAATTTTTTGGCTTTTATAGTGTAAGCTATTCCTCATGGATTAGTTTATTGAAACTTTTCTTATGTATTTTTAGCCAATTTCACATAATGTGTGGATTTATATTCATATTGCCACATAAGACTAATACTTCCAACTCACACACACTGATTCAAAATTAACCATCAGGTAACAAACTCTCAAACACAATCTCCATAATAAATTTATTCTTTACTTATAAACAAAACCATACACATTTTTCTCTGTCATTGCTTCCCAAATCTAGCAGTTCCTGTGGAGGTTTTAAAGGACGGAGATAGCGTGGAATAAATACCCATTTTCCATTGATATCTACAGCCATGGTCTTCAAAAATCTCTGTGGAAACTGTTCCTGCAAGCCAGACTGCCACGTATGTGCCTCTTGCAAAAGCACACCAGGCTCACTACTTTCACACTGCCAAAATCAAGTCAGAATCTTTTAAGACAAAATAAACAACATAAAATTTTTAAAAACTTCGAGACTCAAAAATTATGTTGTTGTTTTTTTTTCTCCCAAAAACAAATTTCAAAGAAATACTGCAAAAATGACTAGTTCTTGTTATATATAAATAACTGTTTATGTTTAATGTGAGTATTATGATTTAGATGGTTTAAGTATAGCATGAGTGTTAAATTTAGTTATTTTTAGAAGTGATAGTGTATTGCAAATACGTTTACGTAACTGTATATGGCACTTATTGTATTATTACATCATGTTATTAGAACTTTCTAAGTTTTTCTCATTGTTTTGATTGAGCATTATTGCATCATAATATCTCATAGTGTGTATAACATTCAAGGCCTCAGTTAGATTATAAGTATGCATACAAAATGTAATTCTAGTTAGTTAGATAGACTGCATGATTGTGAGTTTTGCCATAAAGAGTGTATAGTTGTGAACTTTAAAGTGAAATTATCACAGATTGTATTGTAATAACAGAGTTGAGAAGAATAATTCATCTTTTAAATTGGGTTCTAAAGTAATTGAACTAACCTGTGTGGACTTTGATGAAAAAAGGCAATTATTTAAAGCTCTGGATACAACTGTAGTGATTAACTGTATAACGAACATTTGTATATATGTTTGATTTGTTTTAATATATTATTTTAAAACAAGTGGACTGTGTGCTGTTTGTTTATTGTTGAAAGTTATTGCCACCTACAGTTAAGAATCCAGCCCATCCATACATACTTAAAAACCTGGCACTGGCAAGCCTACCAGGATTCTACAGTGGTAAAAGGTGGTAGACATAAACGACAGTGGGCAAAGTAGGCCTACATATACACAGCTGTTGTGGCGGCAAAAATACTGTATAACCATAGTAATTCAGGTTTCCTTTATAAATGAGATGTGGGGGCTGGAATGTACAACAATGCTATTTTATTTCAGAAAATAAGATTCAGTGGAAGTTAGTATAACTTCAATTTCTCTTCTAGTAACTCAAGTTGGTAATAATGTACATAGAAAAATAATGGGTTTACTTCCTTTAATGCTGTTGTTATCCATTAAGTTAGTTATAAAATCAAGTTTTCACTAAGTTATTTCAATATTAATATTAGTTCGTCAAGATCCAGGTACATAATTCTGAAAATTCTCAAAATGAATGGTCACTTTCTGAAAGAAAAAAAAATTATCATATGAATATTACAAAATGTCTTGCACTACTTTTACTTATATTGTGCTCAAGATTCCCATACTTACTTTTTCTCTGAATGTCTCAGGGAGTTGGAGGGCTGGTTCAATTGTTATGAAAACAGAGAGGTAGGTATTATTTGTATTAATGTCAGTAAAAACTCCAGATGACAACCAGGGTTTAGGTTCATGACCATAACCTAACAGAACAGGAGGAGTAAGAACATGGAAAGTTCCATCAATCTGGGGAAAAAAAAAGAAGCCCTCAAACAATGGTATAAAAGGACTATTATTCAATAATATTAGCTTGACTTGGATTCCCAAAAACATGATAATCCCAATAAAAAATACTAGTGAAGTACAAAAATCATTGTTAATGTGATTTTAGGTAATACAGTAATTTGTTCACATATGTGGAAATTTAGAGATATTGTATGCATCAAACTTAACAAGGCTTACATGTGCAGTGTACAGTTATACATATTTCATGTTGCACTTCATGAATGCCAACAGCTATTTTACTTGTTAACCAAGCAAATGAAGCTCTAAACTTGAATGCAAGATTTACAAGATAAACATAACTTTACACAAGAACAAAGGATGTACACTGTACAGTAACTATCTGGGATAATCAGATTCATCTAGTTTTATAGAAAATTTGATATTTCTTATCAAAATGTTTTTATTGAGATGTAACCTCTTTAACATTAAAGTAATGCTATTAATAATAACCCAAACCAGAATCGGTGCTTTTTTCACTTGTTTCTTATAGAAGCCTTGTGTTATATTATTAAAACAACTAAAAAGGTTTTGTGTGTTCACCATTTGTATTCTAGCCTTGAAAAGCCAAACAGTTGCAATTTGTAATAAAATACATTTAAATATTCTTATTAGCAGAAAACAACTGAATGCAGATTTCCTAGTGAGCATTACTGTACATCTTCAACACTATTTATAACTTTGTCCCTAAAACATTCTCAAACTTGCTCCTTATTTGTACAGTGCAGAAAAAAGGCATAATAAACTCAAAATGTGTAAACAAAGTTAAGACTAAAATTTTCAGTAAAATTCTTCTGAGATTATCATAGAACTTTAGAAAAATAATATTTTTCCTACTTTACATCTGAGACCTTAACTTTGTATCAGTCACATAACAAACTACCCAGATCAAAGTCATTGCCACTACTGAAGAAATCCCCCTGTAATTAAAGTGATGAGCACCATTTTAATGCAACAAAACACTCAATACCTAACATCACAGGCAAGGAAAATTGACCCAAATATTTTTATCTCAGCAGCTGATGAGGAATCATAACAGTCATTTTAAACAGAAATGACTACAATCAAAAGCTACAACTCATCATTGAGGATGGACAATACAAGAAGCTACAAAGCACCAATAACAAAATTTGAAGATCTACATGTGTTATAGGACTACCAAAGAAACTAAAGCCATATGACTTCAACTTTCAACTTGTTATTGATTACATTCCTCAAGAATTATAAAGAATTCTCAAAGTTCATAACCTTGTTGCTCCTCTTGGACCAACTGTAAATCCTATTGACTCATCTTGCCACCAACAAGTCTGTTACATTGCTTATCCCTATCCTGTGTCGTTTCTGATGCACAATTCCAGTCAACATTTCCATTCAATCAGAATACATTTTTGTCAGTTTTAACGTCTTTAGCATATTCCCAACACATTAGAAATTGATTCCTTAACAGCTATTTAACAAGTTGGAAGCAGACTTGCTCCAATTATGTTCATTGGTTCATCCTTTTTCGTCTGTAACCAGCAACATATTCACGTCTAAATTGAAAAACACGAACTTTTGGTTACCAAACAGGAAGACTCATATTTAGAAACAATATGTCAATGACATCTTTGTCATCTGGCCTATAAACTGCAGTATACCTGTAGGTTTTTCCAAAATTTTTAATTTGCAAAATATAAACATTCAGTTAATAGTGCAGACAGAGGTAAATTGTTAACTACTCTTCCTAGACATTTTAATACATCACTATGAACATCATCTATTCACAGCAGTTTAATAAAAGCCCATCCACACCCTCCAAGACCTACACTATAGATCATAAAGATTCACACTCATTCAAAAATGAAATCAGTAGAAAGTTATAAGAGAAAGCAAAAATAATTTGTGATGATCAAAATATACTACAAAAAGTACAGTCCATCAGTGAATACCCCAGACTGCTAATTAATTTAACAATCACTATAAAAGAGGAAACTTCTACACAGACTTCCCAACTCACAAGAATTAAGGAACCAAGAGAACTAAGGAAACAAAAACATGCAACATATCATCTAACCTATAGTTGTAAAGAAGTTTACAACTAGGAGACAGGAAGAACAGTTACACAAAACAAAAGAAAATGCTGATACAGCAAGTTTCGTACTAAGAGAATACTTCATCATAGCTGAATACACATAACAGAGGATACATATCTGAGTGGCACCAGTAGAAGGTTTTTGATGCTACCCAAAACTGAAAACTTGGGAAAATTAAAGTAACCTTCATGATAAAGATGAATAAATCAAGCTACAACATCAAGGACTGGAAACCGGCGTCAGCTGGAATAATAATATATGGAAAATTGAATAAAGATTAAAATATCATTTTAACAAGCAGTCAGATTTTGAACTTTTTTTCTCAAAACTGCACCACTGTTATTGTTTATTAAACACTACCTCCTTTCACTCTCTTCTGATCCTGTGAAGGCTTGGCATAAATCCGGAAATTTGTCAACATCAAATCAAAACAAGAAAGATCCATACATCAAAATACACTGCTTAAAGTCACTCCTTGCATAAATATATCAAACGATGTGTTCCCAAAAGTTATGATACTATTTCTTAACATGACACACTCTTATGGACTTCTTAACACCGGAAACTGTTTTCCAAATCGCTTAAAAGTTTGGTTTAATATAAGTTTTACACAATAACACTGAACATTTGTGACTATGTAAACTACATAGGTGAACACAGGTATTAAATTCTAAAGAATTCTCCAAAAATAGGCATAATAATAGAAAACCTTTGAATTGTTAAAATACAGTGTAGAAAAAGGTATCTTCAGACTTCCTAGCCAGCGTCGTTCAAGTCTTTGGTGAACAACAATATCTCTCTCTGTTTCATCTTCTAACATGTCAACAATGACTTCATCAAATAAACTAAAGTAGATGGTATCTTGAATGGTTTCAAGACTACTTGGTGAATAATCTTCATTTGGAGCTCTAAAGACAAAATAAGATTCAATCAATTTGCTTTTTTATACATTTCTATTTCATACTTTTCAAAAATGGTTAGTGCTTTTCTCAATCTTTCCTTCACAGGAATTAGCACTGAAATTATGAAAGTAACAAAGAAATAATTGTTTTACTAATGTGTGTGTTTGATTTCACTTTCACTACAAAACTCTTTTGATTCAACCTAAAATATCACATTCAGAAATGTCTGAAGAATATGAATGGCTCACCATTAAGCATTCTTTTCTGATCCACGTTTTTAAATCATAGTTAAGAAAAATGAGAAACAACTTCAAAGAAATTTTACCCAAATTTTGCTCAAAGATCATCAAGAAAAGTCTAAGCCATAACATTTTGGGAAAAAAAAAAACATTTCTCTGAAGTAGTTTGTTGTCTTTCTTGAATATGATTTCTATCCTTTAGGCAATAATGAAAACATTAAAAACTAATACAAATATTTTTTAGTCTCACCTTGTACAGACACACATACACATAAGTGTATTTGCTTATCTATCTATATAAAAAGTAAATGAAACTGAAGCTTACTTATGTAGTGAAAATAAATGAAATCAATGAAAGATGAAAAAAAAAAGATATTCTCTAAACAGAAACAAAAAAATGTGTATAATGGTTATTTTCTAAACATAAGTGTCAAAACATAAAACTATATACTGTATTATATTTATGGTGTTTTATTATTTCTTACTATGCACTACAAAACCAATTTAATAATACTTTTTGCTTACTATTTTTGTTACATTATACAGAAGTTTTCAAGGAGTCATTTAAATTATAATTAAATAAAACACAGTAAGGAGGTTAACAAACCATTTACAAAAGAGACCAAATGAAAATGGGACAAAATATATGTTATTTTGCTTTATTTTTGGTTCATTTGTTTGTTTTAGTGTAAAGCCATATTGAGCTATCTGCTGGGTCCATTGCAGGGAATTGAACCTTAGATTTTAATGTTGTAAGTCCATAAACTTACTATCATTCCACCAGGGGACTATACTGCTTCTAGAAATTGGATATATGCTCTAAAGTAAACCTTTGGATGTATAGCAGCATCTAGTAGTACTAATAAATAATTCTAAAACTTCACCATGTGGCCCAGTAAATGATGCAATACTTACAGTTGTTTAGCCTATCATATACTATTAACTAGTTAGCAGATTTAGACCTTTTGTTTTTTCTGTATACAAATCTAAAAAATCTATTCAAATCATATAAATATTCTCATATAATTTAATATGATTAAGTCAAGTTCTTGGCAGATTTTTCACATTATCACTGGTATAAAACAATTGTAAGCTATCATATATAAACCTGTAACATGTACCATTTACTTATTCAATTAGAATTTTGTTGTTACAATGCAGTTACAAATAAGGCATACCGACCTCAAGGAGAGTTCTAATTCTTGATTCCAAGTTGGCTGAGGACCATCAGAGACATAGGTTCGAACAATTTCTTTCTGAAACAATACCTCCACAAATGGCCGAACTTGGCTCTCATGATCCATATTGGAACTTGTTTGTATTACTAAAACAAAAGCAGACCTTCATTAGTAGTAAGTATCACTTTGCTAAATTGTATATTTTAATATGTTCTGTTTCTCTTTTAACAGCTACTTATTAAAGATGGTTGATCAATTCCATCATCCATAAAAAAACTAGATTTGTTTTAAAACATCTTCTCAATCAACAAACAAAAATATTAACCCACTAAATGATTCTACTTGTTTCAATTTCCTCAATAAGTTACTAGATATACTTCTAAGAGAAATGTTAAATGAACAAAAATGTTGTATAAAAACAAAAATTCAATCCTTTGAAAATGGAAATAGTTTCCAATGTAAAAGCTGTTAAGAGAATTAAAAATTCTACTTATACTAAGTGCTAAATCTCAGGTAAAAATTCAGTATTTTCAAAAAGATGGTATTAATATTTTTTGCTTCTAGGGATTGTTAAGCCTCTATATCCTGAAAACAACAGTAGATGTAATGTTTTGGATATAGAAAAACAAATTATTCCTTTTTTTCTGAAAGCGTAAGATAATTGAACATTTTCAAGTAGTTCAACTTTTTATACTTAAATTCTACTTCTGAAACTATGAAACTAAAAATTAGAGGAAAATCAAGATCACTCATCAGTTTTTCTAGGACTAATAACAGAAAAATTAACAAAAGTGACTTCTTACCTCCTACAGAGGAATAACGTTTGGGACTTTGTCTAACTCCATTGAAGTCTGCACGAACAGGAACATTCATAGCATGCTTTACAGTAACCATAATCTTTACATCACCACTAGAAATATTCTGACCTGTAACTTTTTTTCGTTCTTTTCGCTTCATGTGTAGAGGGCGGGTACGCTTGTCAAGGCAAAACAATTTTAATCCTATTGACCTTAGACAGAAAAGCAAAAAAATTATATAATTTATTAAAGTTTCTTTTATAATTAGGACTTTATTTTTGGTTTGCTAGATGAAATGTCTGACAAGTGCAGCTGTACAATATTAATATTAAGTCACCTAATGTTCAAACAGGTTCTATATTTACCCAATAAATGAATAAACAAAAGTCATTCAAAAATGTCCTATGATCAACTTATAAATTATTTGAAAAGTAACATATTTGTATTTATTATTCAAGGTATTGTATATTTGAAGTTGGGTTTAAAAACTTTTAATATAATATAAAAGTGATACAAACTTGTAGAAATAAATCAGTCTTTATAATGCTTGTAAATATCAAGTTTTGGATACCAAGTATATTATATTAAAGTTCAATGTAAATCAATCTTCCTATCACCTGAAAATTATTAATATAAAAAATTACATTTTTCAGCAATACTAATTTCAAAACATACATATAATCAGAAGTGTAAAAATGTTTTTTGCTGTACTAGTCTCAGGCTAGAAGGCATGAGAAATGTACTAGCCCAACTTTTTATTCTCACTATAATGAATAAAGTATTATACATTTCAAATATATACATACCTATATGCATTGCAATGACTTCTTCCACAGTATTACAAAACTCAATACAAGTTACTACCC